TAGCGTATCTCTATAGTTTGCATATTTGTTCATTTATCTATCTGAAAATATTTATGCTGAGTGAAAGCAGCCAGTTACAGAAAGATGTCCTTCATATAAAATGCCATGTTTTCTTTAGGTGAACATTGTCAGGTTCCTACTGGTCCATGTGTTGCAGAATAGAAATGATATGAATTCCTGGGCTGAAACCTAGGCATTGATCACATATTGTCTATCATCTTATCTGAGTGCCTTCAGGCATGAAATGCATCATTTGGGGGAACTTGATTTTCTTATTTATCAAAATGAGAAGGATATCTATCTCAGTTTATTTTAAAAAATGGGAATTTGACGAGATAACTAACATCAATGCCAGACAAAGAGTAGACAATAAATGCTTAGGAAAATTTTTTTTGATGCAATATATAGAAAAAACTAAAAGCAACACACAAAAATTACTAGAGCTGATAAAAGAATATGGCTAGGTTGAAGGATACAGGAGTAACATACAGACATTAGTAACATTTCTTTACACTAATAGTGAATTATTAGAAAAAGAAAGTAAACAATGCCTTTTAAAATCACACCCAAAATCATAAAATACAAATAAATTTGACCAAGGAGGTGAAAGACTTACATGCAGAGAATTAAAAAACATTGATTAAGGAAATTAAAGATGACTTAAGAAATGGGAAAAATATCTCATGTTCTTGGATTGTAAGACGCACTATCGTGAAAATGCCCATAGCACCCAAAGCTATGTACAGATTTAATGCCATCTCCATCAAATTACCCGTGACATTTTTCACAGAACTAAAACAAGTCATCCCTAAAAATTACATGGAATCACAAAAGACCCAGAATCACCAAAGCAATACTGAAGAAAAAGAACAAAGCTCAACAAATAACTCTCCCTGATTTTAGACAATACTATGGAGCTACAGTAATCAAAAGAGCTGAGTATTGGGAGAAAACACAAATGGATCAATAGAACAAAACAGAGAGCCAGAAATAAACCCACAGAACTTTGGTCAATGAATCATTGACAAAAGAGGCAAGAACACACAAAAGAGGAAAAAAGACAGTCTTTTCAGCAAGTGGCATTGGGAAAACTGAGTAGCAGAATGGAAATCAATGAAGTTAGAACACTTCCTCACACCATACACAAAAATAAATTTAAAAAGGCTTAAAGACTTCAATAAAAGACAAGACACAGCAAACATCTTAGAAGAAAACATAGGCAAAATATTATCTGATGTACATCTCAGTAATGTTCTGCTAGGGCACTCAACCCAAGCAATAGAAATAAATGCAAAAATAAACAAATGGGACCTAATTAAACTTATAAGATTTTGCACAGCAAAGGAAACCATAAACAAAACTAAAAGACAACCTACAGAATGGGAGAAAATATTTGCAAGAGATGAGACTGACAAGGGCTTAATTTTCAGAATATATAAACAGCTCATACAACTTAATAATCAAAAATCAATAACCCGAACCCAAAATGGACAGAATTCCTAAACAAGCAGTTCTCCAGTGAAGACATACACATGGCCAATAAGCACATGAACAAACGACAATGTTGCTAATTTTCAGAAAAATACAAATCAAAACTACAGTGAGGTATCACCACAGCAGGCAGAATGACCATCATCCAAAAGTCCACAAATTATAATGCTGGAAGGGGTATGGAGAAAATGGAACCTTCAAACCCTGCTGGTGTAGGTGTAGTTTGGTGCAGCCATTGTGGAAAACAGTATGGAGATTCCTCAAAAACTAAAAATAGACTTACCGTATGATCCAGTAATCCCACTCCTGTGTATATATATGGAGGAAATTATAATTTGCAAAGATATGCACCTCAACGTTCATAACAGCACTATATACAATAGCCAAGATATGGAAGCAATGTAAATGTCCATGGACAGAAGACTGGATAAAGAAGTTGTGGTATTTATACAATGGAATACTACTAAGCCATAAAAAATAATGAAATAATATCATTTGCAGCAACATGGATAGACCTGGAAATTGTCATTCTAAGTGAAGTAAGCCACAAAGAAAGAGAAAAATACCATACGATATCATTTATATGTGGCATATAAAAAAAAACCAAATGAACTTATTTATAAAATAGAAACTGACTGACAGACATAGAAAACAACAAGGTTACCAGGGAGAGAATGAGATAGGGAGGGATAAATTAAGAGATTGAGATTTACAGATAGTAACTAATATATATAAAATGGATAAATAATAAGTACATACTGCATAGTACAGGGAACAATATTCAATATCTTGGAGTAACTTATGGTTGAAAAGAATATGAAAATGAATATATGTATGTCCATGCATGACTGAAGTACTCAGCTGTACACCAGAAATTGACACTTTGTAAAATGACTATATTTCAATTATACACACACACACACACAGACACAGACAGACACACATAGAAAAAATACACAAATGGGACCTAATTAAACTTAGAAGCCTTTGCACAGCAAAGGAAACCATAAATAAAACAGAACAACAACCTATGGAATGGGAGAAAATATTTGCAAATAATACAACTGACAAAGGTTTAGTTCAAGAATATATAAACCACTCATACAACTTAATAATAATAAAAAAAAAACTCACTCCAAAAATGAGCAGAAGACCTAAAGAAGCAATTCTTCAGTGAAGACATAGAAATGAACAATAGGCACATAAAAATGCTCAGTAACACTAATTATCAGAGAAATACAAATCAAGACTACAATGAGGTATCACCTCACACCAGCCAGAGTGGCCATCATTCAAAAGTCCACAAACCATAAATTCTGGAGGGGGTGGGGAGAAAAGGGAAACCTCCTACAGTGTTGGTGGGAATAGAGTTTGGGGCAGCCATTATGGAAAATAGTATGGAGATTCCTCAGAAAACTAAAAATAGACTTACCATATGGAGGGAATTCTAATTCAAAAAGATGCATGCACCCCAATTCATAACAGCACTACTTACAATAGCCAAGACATGGGAGCAACCTAAATGTCCATCCACAGATGATTGGATAAAGAAATTGTGGTATATTTATGCAATGGAATATTACTCAGCCATAGAAAGAATGCAATGCCATTTGCAGCAACATGGATGGACCTGAAAACTGTCACTGTAAGTAAACTGGAAAGAGAAAGAAAAATAGCATAGGATATCACGCATATGTGGAATCTAAAAAAAGAAAAAGGAAGACACCAGTGAACACAGCTGTGAAACAAAAACAGACTCACAGATGTAGTAAACAATCCAATGGTTACCAGGTGGAAACTGGGTGGGAAGGGGTAAATGGGGAGTTAGAGATTTGCAAATGTTAACTACTACATATAGAAATAGATTTAAGAAAAAATCTTCTGTATGGCACAGGGAACTATATTCAATATCTTGTAGTTAAGTTTTATTGAAATGAATATGGAAACAAATAAATATATATATAACTGAAACATTATGCTTTATAACAAAAATGGATACATTGTAACTAACTATATTTGAATTAAATACATAAATAAATGAATGAAATGTCATGTTATATACAGTGGAAGAAAGCAGATTGACTGAGGACAGGAGGAGGGAGGTATGGATTACAAATGGGCACAGAGAAACTTTGTAAGGAGATGGTCTGTATTTTTCTCTTAATCAGCGTGATGCTTTTAAAGGTATATACGTATGTCAAAACTCATGGAAATGTACAGTTTAAGTTTGTGCTGTGTTTTGTATCTCATCTGTCTATCCATTAAGCTGTGAATAAAGAATCACAGACTGAATGATTTGAAGCAGTATTTCCCCCACCTTTGCTGGTGTTAAGCAGCCCCTGGTGCCGTAGAAAGTCCGTATTCCTGGTCCTACTGCTGAGCCCTCTGGAAAGCACCAGGTGAACTGTGCTTTCCACAGGGGTCCCAGGAACTCTCATGCTCAGAGTAGTCAGGAAACACCGGTGGAAACTAAGTGGTAGCAGAGAAGGAGGC